CTATTAAGTAAAACAAGGGCAAAAAATTGTAAAAAAAAAATATTTTAAAAAAATACCTGCCTTCATCAACACCTCATCTAATCTAACCTCATCCTCATCTAACAAGGCCCTAAAAGCAAGCAAAAACCGTTTTAATAACAATGTAATATTTTGCAACCGCTGCACCATTACTGTCACGTACGCTATCCCTAGATTGGTTGCTGGTAAGTAGTGGTTGTCGTCATCAACTCGTCATGCAGCAGCTGATTGGGATGGGCGGGGCCTATTTTTATCCAGGCGATAGAGAGAGCCTTCGTGAGCACCAAAAATTGTGTATTATATGTCTTATCCACGCCATTTTCCCCGGCAAACACCCATCACCCATTGTGCCGGCACACAGGGGTCTGTTCTCTTCCTTCCATAATGCTCATCCCTTCCTCTTGGTTTGTGGGTGGGCATTTTTGGGACTGTGGGTGGTTAATTGCTTTTTAATTTATCATTGCTTCCATCTTAAGGTGCTAGGACACTTCTTGAATCATATGAAAGTTGTTGAAACAGTTTTGACTCTGGTTCTTGATGTGTGATGACCTTGCCTTTTATTCATGTAAGTGAGCCGAGAGTCATTAGGTAGGTAGCCAATGGCCGGGCCGGGCCGGGTGGAATCATTTATTGTTGCATATAAATATTGATATAGGTAATTCAGGCTGACAGACCACTATTCATTTGTAAGCTTAGTTATAGTAACAGGAGCTGTATCTGCCACTTGGCTGAAAGAGAAAATTTGGCATGGTATCAGATTTACCCTATTGCTCTGCTGTCTTGTTCTCCTGTTTTTGTGTGTTTGGACAGGCCATAATTTCTTGAAGAATTTCCCTGCTGATGCATTCCTCATGAAAATATTATGGTAAAAGTATACATTGAGTCCGAGTGACTGTTTAAATATAAAGTTTTCATATTCTTACATTATTTGACATCCTGAATCCAAAAATGATGCTTGTATGTCCTGGAAATAAAAGGAAAACATAATCAAACCTGACCTAACCTTACCTATTTACCTACAAACCTACAACCTCAGTTGGGCAAACTAGACCTTTGGAATCAAAATATGGAGGCATCAAAAGATTGATTCCTTATGGTGAGGCCCCATCTAGAATACGCCAACTCAGTCTGGGGACCGACGTCCAGAGGTGATCAAGACGCCGTGGAGAGGGTGCAGAGGAGAGCGACAAGGTTCGTCCACTCCGTGCGACATCTCGAGTACCAGGACAGGCTCAGGGAACTGAAGCTCCCCAGCATGTACTACAGGAGGCTGAGGGGTGATGTCATCACAGTGTATCTGATGTTGACGGGACGCCTGAAGGTGACAGCTGGTGACCTGCTGGAACGAGAACCGTCCCAGAGAACGAGGAACCACGGTCTGAAACTGAGACAGCCCAGAGTCAACACCCAGCTGCGTCAAGTCTCCTTCTGTTCGCGCGTCATCTCGGCCTGGAATGGACTCCCAGCGGACGTTGTATCTGCCCCAAGCGTCAACGCCTTCAAGAATCGACTTGACAAGTTCTGGGCGCACCGAGTCTACGAACTGAGACCAAGGCAGTGAAGAAGACGCTTGACGAGTAGGAAACGAAGTCACCGAGAACAAGACGGAACTAAGAAGACATTGAAATGCCACTGATCGGAAATCACCCAGGTCCCTCAGGACCTTTCTTTTCCGTGTATACCTAACCTAACCTAACCTTATGACCATATTTGGGCATAAATGCAGACCATTTCTAACTTACCAAACACTTAAAAATAAGAGAGTGTTTCAAGAAGGAGCATGCCTGATCTTGAACAGAAATGCTGGAAGTATCTCCTAAGCAAAATAATATTGCTCCTATCATAACAATTTGAATTATATAGGTAGTTAAAGGCAATCAAGGAATTGATTCACTTTCAACAGATAATCATAATATTGATTCCTCATCAGCTGGCTAATCATTATTTTGATTCACAGGTAATGTTAAGAGATAGGCAACAATAGCCGGGTACACAACGACACAAATCGGAGCGGGCCAGCGAGGCCCGGGTAGTGGGCTAACATGCGGTTCACACCACACTCCACATGCCTACCCAACGTCTCACTACACACGCCTGCGATAAATGGTTACCAGTAATTAAATGCCCTACTTCGATTTTTATGACGAATAAAAAGTCATTCAATCCAAAAAAGCCTATAATACTGACTTACAAACAATATTTCCTCAGCAGCTATGCGCCGATGTGAGCCTGCCTTTACCTGGCATCGGAGTGGGCCAGCTAAGCCACCTGCCGCGGAGATGGCCAGGCTGGCCCACTGCGAATTTCCACGGAGAAAAAAATATGCAGATGTCACGCTGATTTACTGACTCAGCACCTTTTCACTGAATTTGTCACCTACGGTGGGCTACCGGCCTCGAAATGAGAACCTGGGCGCATGCGCGTATATCGCATCTAGGACAATTTTATTGTCAAGAAGAGGGAGATAGGTAATTATGGAACGTTTCTAAAGCTGTATTTGTATTTTGACGGTCTGTGCCCAAGGTAGGTGTTATGAATTTATGTTTTTAATGAATGTGCTGGTTCGTTTGCTTGCTGGCTGCTCTTACTTACCTACTTTCTTGCTCTTTCGTTTTGATTTTTTCCCTGCTAAATTTCTACCTGATAAGGCATTTATAGATATGCAATATATTTATACTTGTCTCTAATTTCCATGTAATGCCAGTGCATGGAAATACTGGGTGCTTATATGCATTCAATAATATTGCTGCAGTTCTGTATTACCTATTGAATGAAATGAAATAGGCTGTTTATTCTATTAAAAATACATATAGGTATTTGTGTGCAGGCTGTGGCGGTCTTGGTAAAGCTGGCGTCTCTGTCGACGCTAGCCGGCGAATGTGTCAATTTAATTTATATTTTATACTGGGTATAATAAAACATAATCTAACCTGACCTAACCTTACCTACAAACTTACAACCTACCAACCTACATACCTACACCTTACCTACCTACCTGCCTTCCTATTGCTGACCGTGACGCCAGCGTAACCGATACCGCTGTGTCCAGCATCTTGCTCTGAACTCTGATTTAGATTAAGGAAACTGCATATCAATATAGGAAAATGATAAAGAAGAACTTTTGTAGATTGATTATGCTGTTCTTGTTCCATCTTTCTGAACTCGCCTGTGGTTTGTGGACTCTTAAAACGCAGTAGATGCGTCAGTGTATTTCCCTTTGTTGGACATCTGTTGCTGGTTAGTTTCTGGCTTGAAAAAGTATTAAATTGTGTGTTGTCTGTATTTATATTAATATGCATCAACAAGTATTTTTGTCTTCTTCTATTCCAGGCTGGAGAGTGGTGAAGAATAATCCTTCAACAGAAATGTCTGCAAGATTGTTCAAAACATTGTTTTCTTTTTTATTTTCATTTAAGACTCTTCAATTGACATAATTACAGGAAATAGCATGTTCATTAAATGCATCAAGCCATGAGTTAGGGAAGTGAACTACTATAGAGTGATCAGTGAATGGATATGTTGGACTTTGTGCATAGTTGTGCGAAGTGGTGAAGTAACTTGGCTTGAATTTAGATTCATCCCTACTCTCCTAATTTCTAAAAAAAGTTCTTAAATTTTATTCCCGATTGTACTGTGTTCACGTTGCAAGGATGGGTTGCGAGTTGGTTGGATTAGTGGAAACATTTGCCTACAAAGTGTTGCATGTTGTTAAGCACTGCTGGCAATGCTTATGGTATGTGCTGTGTTGGACTTTGTGTATAGTTGTGCGAAGTGTTGAAGCAACTTTGCTTAAATTCAGATCCATCCCTAGTCTGCTAATTTTTCAAAAGGTTTAAGTTTCTTCAATTTTCTTCCTGTTTGTACTGTGTTCATGTTCCAAGGATGGGTTGTGAGCTGGTTGGATTAGTGGAAACATTTGCCTGCAGAGTGTTGCATGTTGCTTAGCACTAGTATTATTTGCTAGCAGTGCCTATGGTTAATTGTTGCTTGTGCAATTTCAGAAAAAATATATAGAACTTGATTAATTATATCTACATGTTTGGTGCATGCGTACATGTAAGGTGAGAACCAAGATGGAAAGGTCAGGACCCAACAGCTTACTTTTTAAGATATTCAATTAGAGCACATGGCAGTTGGAGTCACTCAGCTGAAAAGGGTTCATGAAAATCATTTGTACATGTACATATGCTTTCAAACCAAACTGGGGCCAGCAAAGAGCACCAGCCGACTGGCCAGGGTCAAGATCTAGCTGAGGTTGGGGGAGCAGCAACAAACTTCGCTGCTCAGATCAGGTGGTAGGTACTCTTCAATTCATTCCACGTGTTACACTGCTTAGAAATGGGGTATATTCAGAGGATAATTCTGCATTCTCCTTCATCCACCAGTAGCCAAAGGCCCGCAGTAGTCCAGGGACCTCAGTTTTCGATCCATGCTTGAGGTCCCAGCACAGCCATACGGACCCCAGTCCCTAGAAGTCACAGCCAAGCATGCTGAACGAAGATTAGAGATGCAGGTTGCCGTGTGTTAATGGTGCATTGTGAGTTTCCGTGTATAACGGGAGATTTGACGTTGTCGTGGCTTATACGACGTTCATTTATTAGTAGAATTAATGAATTGTTCGCATCTGAACGCCAAAATTTGGCCTTATAGGTATTACAGACGGCAAAACAGTTACCTCGTTATGCATCTCTAATAGGAAAGTTGCCTGATTTGGTGTATTTAGTCTGAAGTTAGTTTTACAAATAGTAGGAAATACATGCTAATGTTTTCGCTTTTTTCCTTATGATTTATCAAGTAAAAATGATATTTTAGAATATGATTTCATCTGTCAACACTCGTTTGCACAATATTGATGCGTATTTTGTTTGCATTTCACTTTTATTTTGAATAATATAGGAGGAACTGAACATAACTAAGTTTAGACTAGATTTCTTCCTACTGAAACGGGCCTCGCTGGCCCTCTAGAGGGCTTAGCTGGCCCCAGGTTTATGCCGTTGTGAACCCGGCTAATGACATGCAAGAATACAGCATTTATCTTGCTATTATTCTCATTAAGTGGTATCCTCAGTACCACAACAGATACCTATAGCATTGTTGTACTTTACCTTCACTACATTTGATAACAATTCACAATTTTTAAACGTCAAGAATACAAAAACTGAAGCAACAGGTAAAAACCATATCAGTAGGCGGAACTATGGTCAAGCGTACCCATTTTCGGGAACGCATTTTCGTTCCCATGTTTGGGAACGATAAACCCAAATATGGGAACGCCATGTAGGCATTATTTAAAACAAGAAAAAGAACCGTTAAATGACGTCCAAAAAATATAAAACGATCGTGAACCGCCTGATAGTTGTCTCAATATTGTTGGGAAAGAGTTTGATATTGTAAGGCCCATCGTAGTTTCAAATCGTTCCCCTATTTCTAAAGCAGTCCATCACCCGGGCCGCGAGCCCAAATTTGGGAACGCTCTCGTACACTGGCGCTGCAAGCGTTCCTTATTATGGGAACGGCGTACCCAAAATTGGGAACGATTTCACCGACGCCTTTCAGGGGCTCTTTTCATTAACAAGCATCACGTCCAACGCCGCAAATTATTGTTAACGCAACAATCATCAGATGACCTTTCCGGCAAGACCGTTGCATGTTTCGCCCGGTCTTCTGCGCTTTTATTTCCGTCGATCTCGCAGCGGACACGCCCCCCTCTGCAGAATTACGTAATCCACAACGCTCAGCGATGTTCAACAAGGTCTTCCATACTTATATCCACCGTCCGCGCCGAGGGTGGAGACATGTCAAGCACCTGTCTGCTAATCACCGAGAGTTGACGAGCACAAGAAGTATCCAAAAATGGGAACGCTGAATATGTTACACCCTCAAAACACCTAGTCCCAATGAAAATCTAGTTTTTTCCTTTCTTAATGAGTGTAAGTGGCAAAAGGCCTGGTAGGATGGGCACGAGGAATGATCGAAATCAGCATAAAAATTATAAATAAGCCACACAGAGCGACCTATATCAGAGAAATTCCTCCCAAACGATCATGCTTAGAAACGCCGAAGACAAAAACCACGCTCATGACGCTGCTTATAAAACAACGCTAAACAGCTAGCATCCAAATAAAATATGTCTTTCAGGGCTGATAAAATATAGCTGAATGATTTTAAACCACTGAAACTGAGTTTACAACAGTAGTTCGGTAAAATCACTGACGTTCCACGCGGTCGATCGCCCCGACACCAAAAGTCAACAATATTACCTCGGGACTGTTCGCGTGTTCGCTTGCATATGTCAGCATCTGGTGTCGCTAGAATGAAACTTCATAACCAGGCGAAAATTATTATACTTGACCTCAAACTGTAAAAAATGCTTCATTTTCCTTAAAATTGCATGTTAAATGTCGTATAACCCATATTTCCACCATTCTGTCATTTTTAAAAAATCATTAAAAATATCATTCCACGGCCAATTTCCTTGTTCCACGGTCAGATTAAAGATAACTTTATGGAGATTTAGTAGATACTTAAATCAGCGTGCACTTTTTTGAGACGTGATGCACTTTTGAGTTTTAGTGGGCGAACGGCCGAAAAATTGTCTTCCGTTCTCATAAATGGGAACGCCCGTTCCCATATTTGGGAACTCCGTTCCCAAAAATGGGAACGTTCCTATATTTGGGTACTCATGACCATAGTTCCGCCTACTGATATAATAAATATAAAAGCACTACAACAATGATAATTAGGGGTTTGAAAATTTCATTTTGCCATTTTACACAAATACTGATTGTTTAGTATGCGATTCATGTTACAAAAATAACATACAGTGTGATTTCCTCAAAACAGCTTTTACGTGATGGACAGTGCCTCTGTCTTTTTCCCATTCACAAGGCCAAAGGGACAATTTCTCAGTTTTGAGGTAACACTTTTTGCAAACCTACCACATTTTTCTACCTTTTTAAACAAAAATCTCACCGTCATGGGCCTTTTTTCAACCGTAACGATACATTTGAAGTCAAAAGTGTACCCAAATGAATCAAAAAATTGATTCTATGCCCATATTTGGTCATGGCTCCTCCCACCAGAATCAAATTATTGATGCCTCCATATTTTGATTCCAAAAGTCTAGTTTGCCCAACTGACCTACAAACCTACAACCTACAACCTACAAACCTGCAACCTACAACCTAAAACCTACAAACCTACCAACCTAAAACCTAAAACCTACAAACCTACAACCTAACCTAACCTAAAACCCACAAACCTACAACCTAACCTAACCTAACCTAAAACCTAAATTTTTTGCTGTTACATATTTGTATCAACAGCGTCACAATTGTCCACTCGGACCTATTATATACTAATACCATTATTTGTACAAAATTTCCAAGGGTGTTAATGCATGAATAAATAAACAAGAATAATTAATAAGCTAAGATAAGTATTTTTCAATTAAGAAATTTAAATGCAAAGCACATGGTGCCTGGTGGCTGGTGGTGCCAGTTTTTACCCATTATCCATGAAAAGCCTAAGGAATATCCCCCAATGGAGAAAAAAGGGGCTGCCAGATGCCGGCTGTCTGAACGCATGCTTTATCAGCATGCTGCTGATTTTCTCATAAGTCATATGTGGCAGCTCATTGCTGGCATTTCAATGGTGTCACTGATTAACCACACAGCACACAGTTCACATGATTTTGATTTTTGATTTTTGAAAAGTTGAAATTGACAGCAAGCTGGCAGCATAATGCTGAAAAAGAGTGAACAAGTAGCTCCCTGGTCTGCCCAACAAAGCTATAAAACTTAAAAGAATGCCCAACAAAATCTGAGATATCAGTGGTTTGAGCCTGGTCCCTAGAGCTGGTCAATTCAGATTGAAGATTTTGCATTTTAATGTCAAATTTTAATAATCCTCTGGTTCCTATGATTGATATTGATAAAATTATAAATGTTAAGCTAACTATCAATTATGGCAGTTTTGACTAGATTTTGTGGTGGCTAGTCTGCCTGGTCAAGCAGTTGGTGTGTATTTGTATTTTGTGGTGGAATTCTGCAGCCACTGCAAACATAGCTATCCCTTTCTTTTGCAATTCAACCAAAAATAGTTCAATAATGATACCTTTTTGAAGTAGCCTTGTAGTTTGCTGCTATTTTGAGTATTTCATATTGAGATAAGTGATAACAACATACCTTGGGCTAGCGATTGCTACTACTTTAACACTTATTGAAAAGTGAAGGATCCTGAGCTTGAAGTTCCTAGTGTTCATAGTCTGTTGGAAAGCCTTCTCTTGTTTTCTACAGATTGTGATGCTGACACTGATATTACATGATGAGACCAAATTCATTGGTCGCTAGCTGTGTCACTGCTGCCGGAACTCTGATTTTTATCAAGGACCTGGGGTGACCAGGGCTGAGCAAACATCTAAGTCATTTTATTGGAAGGGGGGTTTGATTTGAAATGGATGTCTGTTGTTGAGGTAGGTTCAGCTTCCTGATCGATTTTTGAAGTTGGAGTCAGACTTCAGAGGGCTCTTGCTTTGCTATAGATGCAAGTTGGATATGCAGCTCTTGAAAAACTACGCCTCTGAATTCTAATGCCAAGATCTCGACAACCGCCAAGATCTCGACGTCATGCTTCTGTCCGAAACTTGGCTACGACCGAGCACACCCAATCGCCTCCTGGTCATCCCTGGCTACTCCATCAGCCGGGTGGACCGACCTGACGGCCGAGGCTTTGGTGGCGTCGCCATCATCACCAAAGCGGACCTTACGCCTGTAGCACTGAAGCCACCAAGCTCGCAGTGCCCGGACAGTCTTCTGGAATCGCAGTGGGCATTGTTGAAATTACCAAAAAATCGCAATCTGATTGTCTGCTCGGTGTACCGACCGCCGCGTTATTCCGCGACCGCACTGCGTGCGGATTTTACAGACTTGGAAACCCAGCTTCAGCGTGTCCTTATCGACCACCCCAACGTCCCGTTTGTTATATGCGGCGATCTGAATTGTGACTTGTTAAAGAGCGCTAGCTCTCCCGCCCGTCAACACATCAGCGAGTTCCTCTCTGACTACTCCCTGGATCAACTCGTGACAACATCAACATTCACTACCGGTTCTCTCTTGGACGTGTGTATTGTACAAAACCGAAAATTTGTGCGTTCTTATAGCGTAGTCCATTGCCATTTCAGCCCACACAAACTCATCCACGTGACCGTCGACGTGCCTAAGCAGCGCCTAAAACCAACTGTCATCCAATCTAGATCACTTAACCAAGTGGACGTTCACTCTATCAACCAAGAGCTGCTGAGTGTCGATTGGCAGGAAGTTTATAACTCGACGTCTGTTGCTGACAAGTGGCAGGTCTTTTTAGACAACTTTCTACCTGTCTTCGACGACCATGCCCCCCTCAAAAATGTGCTGATAAGAAATCCTACAGCGCCCCCTGTATCTGCCGCCACCCGCGACATTATGTCCAGGCGTCGCTCCGCGTTACGTCGGCTAGGCCGCGAGTCTCCCGAGTATAAGGCTCTTAACCGCTCCGTCCGTGCCGCCTTACGCCGAGACCGCCGTCACGTCCTCCAAAACGAGATCAGCGAGCGTGGGGTAAACAAAGTCTGGCAAAGCATCAAATCAGTGATCGCTGGAAAGAAAGATGGTCCAAATATTCAGCCCGATCTATCTCCCGACGATCTGAACTCCTTCTTCGTCTCTGTCGGGCCCCGCATTGCCACCGAACTGAGTACCCAAAACAACGATACTGATCTAAATGTACGTCTACCCCGTGTCGGCGCATGCAGCTTTAGGCCGAGGGCCATCACTCTCGGGGAACTCGGACTCACAGTGTTCAGCATGCGAAACTCTGCCGCGCGTGGCACTGACGGTATATGCATCCGCATGTTAAAAGTATGCTTCCAAACTATTGGCGACATCATTTTACACATCATTAACGTCTCAATCACCCGTTCCGACATTCCTGACCCCTGGAAACACTCTATCGTTCAACCGATCTTCAAGTCGGGCAACCCATCTGACCCCAGCAATTTCAGACCGATCTCCCTAGTTCCCGTAATCATGAAAATCATCGAGCGTGTAATCCATCAGCAGCTCTATCACTATCTCACCCATAACCACCTTCTTTCGTCTACCCAACACGGATTCCGCCCCCGACACTCCACTG